CCATCTGTTGTGCCTGTTTCCATGGGTAAAATAGAAGCATCTTCCTCTCACAGAATGGTGGCAATGAATGCATGTGATTTCTGGGTCTTACCAGTCAACAAGCATTAATTAAGCATCTACTCTGTGACAGGCATGGTTCCAAGTGCTGGGGATACAATGTGGGTTATTTAACTAATATGCACTGTTTGATATATGCTAACTCCTTCCCTTACACCACATGCTCCTTCAAGGCAGGAATGTTTTCCTTTATGTCCAGTACCTGGCATACAGTAGGCAATTACTACATGAACGTTGATTCTTAGCATCGCTGCAGACATAACTTGCACAGCCCTGCAACACTCACCAGCCATGTGCTCCGAGCATAAGCATCTAGCCCAGCTCTAGCTCTTGGTAGGCACAGCCCCTCTGGTCCCCAGGCACGTGGTTTCCCTTCTCTGTCCAACAGGGACAGCCGTCTCTGCACTTGCTTCCCTCGAAGGGTCATGGTGATGGGCGATGGGAGGGGCTGCTGCAGCCGTCACTGCTTCTGGCTGTCCCCGTGCCCCTCCCTCACCTCCACCCTGCAGAATCCCTGCTTCCTCTCAGGTTCTACCTCTACACAAGGCCTGTGCACATCCCCCCACCTGTCAGGGCTCTACCCCTCCAGACAATGAACTCTGGATGTCCTTCGTAGGGGCTCCATCTGCCCTGGGAGGAGGGGCTTCCGTCTCTGGATGCATGCCCTCTAGCATGGCGCCTGGCACTGAACCAGGGCTTGGGGAATAAGTGGAATCTGTTATTGCAATTTACTCCATGGCCTGGTCCCCAAGACTCCAGGGCTCACCAGGCACCTGATAAGAGAGGAATGGTGTTTTCTCTTTGGTTCACTGTCCACTGTGGGAGTTAGCTCGGGTAAATTTTCTGAGCCTAGCCTTAAAAGGTGCTGACATGTCTACCTTTCTCCAAGTTTGGCCTAACGGGGTGCCAGCTCTGTCACACCTTTGGGGGAGGCAGCCTTTCCTCTCAGCCTCAACAGATAGGAGTCAATGGTAGCCCCCCTCCCCAAAAGAACCAGACTCCCTTTGGCAGGCCGTGGATCGCTGTCCCCTACAAAGTCCTAGAGTCATTGCAGGTGCACTGGGTCATCCGGCCCACTGCTCAGGAGGCACATGGCTGGGCATCTTCTTTCTCCAAGGAGCATCAGGAAAGCCTCTGCTCTCTCTAGGTCTGATTTCCAAACTTACCCTTAGGAACTCCCAATGGCCCTAGGTTGGTGCTGTCCAGGATTGTCAGGCTAGGAGGTGACATTATGGATTGATGCTGCAGAGAGGAACCAGCACTCACTGCTTCCTCCACACAAGAGGCTGGGTCTTACACACTGTTCACAACTGAGCCTCTCGGGCCCTTTGGTACAGCCAAGAGCCTCTGCTGCATGCTCAGGCTGAAGCAGCAGCTCCCAGGTGCTGATGAGATGCTTCCTTACAGGGGCATTCCCAGGGCTCCATTCCAAGGGGCCAGGGTGTGGCCCAGGCTTCCCTCTCCACCTGGCCCAGGCCCGCTCTTCTCCATAATGCTGTTTTCTGATGATGCCAAGGCAATGGGCGGTCCATCATCTCCCTTTTAGAGTGCATGAAGAGGGGGCCATCCTCCTGGGTCCTTACAGGCAGCCAGTAGCCTCTGAATACCAATCAAGAATCCTTTTTGTCCTCTCCACAAGGCATCCTGGGAGTATGCTCACACTCCCTGGGGCAGGGGCCCTGTGATCCCTCCAAATAAAGCCACCCCCTCCCCAGCCAGGAATCTCACTTAGGTGATTGGAGAATCATTGTAAATGACTAAGGATCAGCTCCAGCTCAACCCAAGGAGCATTATGCTACCTCTTTTGTAACCTTCACAATATTCAATTAACCCCTTTGATATCACGTAGTATGTACAAGGAACTTGGTCTCCCCCATCAGACTATGCACTCTGTGACATAGTCTGCCTCTCCTGTAACCCCAGGCTTAGCACAGTGCCAGGCACACAGCACTGAACATACAGCAGACTGAGCGCCAGTACCCAGGAACCGTGAAGTCATTGTCCAGTCTAACACAGACCCAAACAGATTCCCCTCTGCCCTCTCTTTGAACAGTGGCTGTGCAGCTTTTGTTTCAAGACCTCCAGAGAAGGGAACCCTGCTATTTAACACCCCTCTCCACACCACCTCCTATGTTTGGACACATCTGTTTATTGGGTCTTCACCTCTCTCCTGACCTCCAGTCTTGCATCTCTGTCTACCAGACATCTTAAACTCACTAAGTTCAAAACAGAATTCATTGTCTTTCTCCCTAAACCCTGCCCTCTTCCCACTTCCCACCCAGGCGTCCCTTTTAGCTCCTCAATCTCTCCCATCCCTCATGCCCATCTCTGATCAGTTGACGAGTCTGGTCTTTTCTACCTTCATAACATCTCTCCTATGACACAGGCATCCTCCCCCATCCCCATGCAGGTCCTCATCAACCCCCCTCCTGGCCCACTGCAATAGCCTCTGGGTGGGTCTGCCCACCTCAAGTCTCACCCCACCTGGGAGGTAGTCAGGATGGCAGAACAGCAGGAAGCCCTGCTGAGCTCCCCTTCACAACTCCAACAGAAAGATCTAGAAAACGGACCAAGCTAAGTCTTTCTAGGAAAATCCAAGAAAAAAAAATCACAGTGAGTCGTTCCTCCACCCCAAGCTGGCACAGGGTAAAAAGCCAAGAGAAGTCTACGGATGTTGGGGGTAGGGTCCGTCTTCTCCGGCACAAGAAGCTGTTTGAGATCTAGAAGAGTCTTTGTGCAGAACACAAGAACAAGCACCACGTGACAGCCCCAAGGCTCACAATGAGAGATGCAGAATGACGTTTCCCGGGGGTGGAGTTTAAGGGCGAGGCCCTATCACAGGCGCTGGCTGTAGATTGACGGAGGGATGAGTTCAGAAGGCAGCGGCAGCAGTGTGACTCCAATGCTGAGAACAGGACTGGTCTCAGGTCCAGCCTCTAGCCCAGCCTGAGGCCTGCAGAGGAAGAACTGGGGAAGGGATTCCAGCCCCAGAGGGGGCCTGCCATTCTGTCCTTTTGAACCAGCAGAGCCTCCTAGTAGGCTGAGGGAATGAATCCAGCAGCAGGCTCCTGGAACTCCAAATGGAGCAAGTCCACAGACGTGCCGCTCAAAGCCAAATTTAGGTCAGAAACCGGCAGAGCTCAGACCAGGGGGGGAGGGGTCAGTCTTTGTCCTGATCAGATTATTTTGAAAGCACCAAAAGTCTGCAAGTCCCCAGCCCAAGCTTTCTCTGAAAGCCTAGAATAACACAACAGAAAGACCTAAGAGGACATAGGCTCTCACTAGCCATTTCTTCCAGAAGTGTGTAGATCTTGGACCTAACATAAATTCCAAGTAGGCTCGAAGAATGAGCAAATAAAAAAGGAATTCCACCATAAAAAAGTATCATGGTGACAGGGATGGTCAAGACACAAACCCAGAAAAATATAGTAACTCCAAAACTTCTACAAACAGTGAAAAACGAAGCTTGGGCACAAGCTCAACTAGAATTCCTGGAAGAGACTGGAAAAAAAAAGTTTTAAAAGATTTTTTATAAATAGAATGAAAGCACTAAAGGAAAAAATGAGAAAACAAATGAGAGCTACAGAAGAAATAACTGTAAAAGGAATTAACAGTTTGTACAAAGTACAAAACCTTGCCCAAGAAGTAAACTCCCTGAAAATTAGAATGGTCCATATAGAAGTCAATGACTACATGAAAGACAAGAAATACTGAGACAAAATCAAAACACATAAAGTAGAAGAAAATGTAAGGCAGCTCAGAATACTAATAATGACTGGTTTAAGACTTCCAAAGCAAAGTGCTTTACAGGGGCTACTTAATTTGACCCTCACAACAACCCTAGGAGGTCAATACTATTATAATCTCCATTTTACAGGCAAGGAAACTGAGGCTGAGAGGTGAGGTGAAGTGATTTTCCCAGGGTCATAGAGCTGAAGGCTGGATTTGGACTCATCTTCCTGACTCCAGACGCAGCCTTCAATGACTGTGGTGCCCCACCTGCCTAGCAAAAATAAATGACCTAGAAACAGATTAAAGAGAGATAATTTAAGAACCATCACAGTACCAGAAAGCTACGACTAAAAAATAAGAGCCTAGTCACAGCATTACAAGAAATGATAAAGGAAAACTGCCCAAATCTCTTAGAACCAGAGAATAAAGTAGAAACAATCTACTGGTCACCAAAACAAAAATTCCTAGGCATATGATATCCAAAATCTGGAGCTTCGAGGTCAAAGAAAGAATACTGCCAGCAGCCAGAAAGAAAGAATTCAAGATCTGAGGGGGGTCTAGTCAGGGTCACACAGGATTTAACAGCCACTACTATAAAGGAGCAGAGAACTTGGAATACAATATTCAGGAAGGCAGAAGATATAGGCTTACAGCTGAGAATAACTTACAAAACTGAGTATAATCCTACAGGGTAAAAAGTGGGTCTTTAATGAAATAAAGGACTTCTAATACATAATCTGTAATCTAGTTACACTGGCCTCCTTACTATTCTGCAGAAAGGACACCATCTCCTGGCATTTTTCAGTGCCTGTTCCCCAAGCACAGAAGTCTCTCCCTCCTCATGTCTGCCTCCTAACTTCCTTCAAGTACCAGCTAAAGTCTCTTTTTCTCCTCTGTTTGTATGTACCTCCTTTGTTCGTGGTTGTTCCGTGTTGTCTCACTTGTTACCCTGTGAGCTCCTTGAGAGGAGAGCCTGCTTTCACTTTTCTTTGTATCCTCAGCACTGAACACAGTGCCCTGACTTAACCAGAACACCACTCACTGGGAATTTGGTCCTAACCTCCAGCCTTGGCATGTCTCGCCATCTTCCCCTCTTTGGCTAGTTACACTCCCAGGGGTCAGCAGAACCAGTCTCCCTTGTGTCCATTATGGGTGACCCACCTCCAGTTTGGACCTCAGTTTACCGCCATGACCTTGGGCCCTGAGCTCACCTGGGAGGTGGGTGACACTGAGGGCCTGGGGGCCATCCCTCTTGCTCCAGGCTGAGAAGGCAGCGCTGGGGAAGGAAAGGAACCTGTGAGTGGCAGCCTCGGTTCCAGGACTCAGAGAGGTTCTGACCCTGCTTAAGTCCCCAGACCCTGCACCTGGAGACAGGCCCCAGACTCAGAACTCCTCCAGAGGAGCCCTGCCCACAGACACCCCCCCCCTCAGTGAGGGAGGGACCCCAGCCCCGATGAAGCCCCTGGACCTAGAACCACCCCAGGGACCCCCAGCCCTGAAGACCCCCTCCCACCTAGAACTGCCCTCAGGGACCCCCAGCCCTAAAGCCCCCCCACCTAGAACTGCCCCCAGGGACCCCTGCTGTGATGAAGACTCCCCACCTAGAACCACCCCAGGGACCCCAGGCCTGATGAAGCCCCCCCCGCCCAGACGTAGAAGCACCCGGGGAAAGGGTGGACACACCCCCACACCCCCACCCCTACACCCCGGGCCAGGGCACTACGCATGCGCCTCCAGAGACCAGCGGCGCCGCTGATTGGCTGCAGGGCCGCGGCCCCTCCTCCCGAAGTCCGGATTTCCCCGAACAGGGGACGTAGCTGCCGGTGGCCAACACTGCGCACGCGTAAACATCGGCCTCACCGGCACTCCTGCCCTTCCCCCTTAACTCAGCCACTGAAACGTGGGGCCGGGGCCCCTCCTGCCCCGCCCCCTCCGCCTTCGGCCCGCCCTGCGGGCTTTCACTCACCCCGGCTGGCGGAGAATAGGGCGGAGCCAGGTCGACAGTTCCTGAGGACTAACGGTCATAAAGGCGGGGAGTCGGAAGAAACGGAAGTGACGTAAGGCGTTGGAAGCTGAGGCGGAACCCCGCTCCTAGCACAGGCATGCGCCCAGAAGGCCTTCTGGGAAATGTAGTCCCGAGGGCAGCGTAGGCTGTACGCATGCCCGGAGTCACACCCAAACTCCAAACACGTGGAGATCCTTCGAGTTCCTCCTCCCCTCCTCTCCCCGGCCGGCTCGCCGCCTCTGCGGCTACCTTGGCTAGCAGCCTTTCGCCAGCCTGACCTTTGGCCCCTCGCGGGGCTCAATTCGACTTAATAAGCGTTGATTAAGCGCCTACTGTGTGCCAGGTTCGAATTTTGGTTTAAGGTTAGCCTACCCCTCAGTGCTGGAGAGGCAAAAAGAGGCAAAATAATGGGGAGGCACCGTGCAAATAAACCCATAAAAGCAAGCCACACACCGGACAGATAGGTGGTGGTTAACCCGGGAAGGCGCTGGAATGAAGAGGCTTCCTGGAGGAGGTGGGGATCTTCACGTCCCCCAGGCTTTAAAGGAAGCCAGGGAGGGCGCTCCAGGCATGGGGGCGGCCCGAGGGAATGCCCAGTTCCCAGAGCCTAGCGATGCGGGGTGGTGTGCGTGGAACAGCGCGGAGGGGTATCTCTGGATGGGGCAGCCAGACTGGGAAGGGAGGAGGGGCTCTGAACGCCGGGCCATTTCGGTTTTGATCCTGGAGGCAGTAGGGAGCCACGGAGTTTACAGAGCCTGGCGCGACCTGGTCAGACCGAGCTTTCGGCAGATGGCCGGCGGCTGAACGGAGGAGGGTCTGGAACGGGGGGGCCACGGTCTGGCCATAGGCACGTCCGACTCTGTGACCCCCTTTGGGTTGTCTTGGCAACGACGCTGGAGGGCTTTGCCATGTCCTTCTCCAGCCCCTTTTACAGACGAGGAAACTGAGGCCGGCGGGTGAAGTCACCTGTCCAGAGCCACTCCGCCGAGTGTCTGAGGCCGCACGTGAACGCGGGCTCCGGCGCTCCGCTCACTATGGCGCCGCCTAGCGGCCCCGCGGAGGTGCGCGCTGTGGCTGAACGATCCGCGGAGCGCTCGCGTGTCTCGGCCCTAAGGTGTCTGCCCACTAGGATTCCACAGTGGACGATGAGCCGGGAGCCCTCTCGCGTGGGGCACGTTTACAGTCTTCCTCACGTATAAGGGAAACTGTTCCGTGTTTGGTGCCTTTGTCCTTTGATGTCCGATGGGCTATAAGTCAAGGATTTCATGCGCTAATTACTTAGGAAGTTCTGTTACATTGAGATGGTTCTGAAGAGACCCTGAGACATTTCCTCTGGGTTTCACATTTATGGACACTCTCTCCTACAGTTATCGTCCACTATAGAAAAAGGGGTGGACCTGAGTCAGGAGTTCTTAACGTAGGTTACATTAACTTGTTGGGGTTTTTTTTTTGGAGGCAATGGGGGTTAAGTGACTTACCCAGGGTCACACAGCTAGTAAGTGTCAAGTGTCTGAGGCTGGATTTGAACTCAGGTCCTCTTTACTCCAAGGCTGGAGCTCTATCCACTACACCACCTAGCTGCCCCTATTAACTTGTTTTGATAATAGTGATATGGTGTCGGATGTTTAACAACCAGCTTTCAGGAGGAGGGTGAGTATAGCTTGGTACACTTTTAAATTTTATTTGACCTGTTAACATTTTCTCTGTTACTTTTTTCTCTATCACATAAATCTACACAATCAATAAAACAATAAATCAAGCCTTTATTTGTATTATTTTCCAATTTCTGAGGTAGAAATGCTCACACTGAAAATTTAACAGTTGGCTCTCTGGAGCTGGTTATGAGCTGACTCCAGCACCGCCCTGATTGTATTTCAGTATAATTGGTTTCCTATGTAATCCTGGGTATTTTACTTTATACATTTAAAAACATTATTGAGACGAGGTCCAGGCTTCACCAGACTGCCCGAGAGATTAAGAGCCCTGCCTTAGACAGAAGCACCAGTGAAGAGGTGGAGAGGTTTTGGGATGCTGGGACCCCCCAGATCGTGACGCGGGCTTGCCTGAAAGAATTCAACCCAAATCTTCCAGCCAGAGAAAAAGTTTATTAAAGATAAATCACATATAGGCCAGGTGACACCCGAGTGGACGAGCGGGCATGAGAGTCCCAGCCTTTGGGCATGAGAAATTCCCAGCATGTGAATGGGGGCTAAGGTGGTCAGGCCAAGTGACACTCGTAAGGACCAGCAGGCATAAGACAGTCTCAGCCTTTTGAGGGTGAGGAAAGCTCAGCATCTGAATGGGGTCAAAGGTGGATCTTAAGTACAGAAAGACTGTGGGAGGGATCTAGGAGTAACCAAGTAGTTTGGAGTGACTGGAGGAGGGATCTAAGGAGATCTGGGTGGGAGTGGCTAGTAAGCTGGGGTGAACAGAACTCCTTGGTCCTGGACCTTGAGGTGCCTAGCTAGGATTAAGGATGGGAAATGGCCAGGGGCCACAGGAAAGTAAAACAATGGAAGGGAAGACTAGTTGAAGGGGGGAGATGGTTGGAAAAAAAAAGGCTCAGGTAAGAGTTCCCTTTGGAAGGTCTGAGAGATTGAACAGACAATGAGAGTAGATAATGAAGGGAACTGAAAGATAGAAGTTTGCTGTCAAAGGGAGATAAGAGAGCTTTCAAAGGGAAATATGGCAGTTTCTAAAACTTTAAGGCTTTCCTGGGACCAATAGACAAACTGAAGCCAGGTTCTTTTTAGGGCCGGGGGCAAAGGTGCATTTGAATAAGATTAAAAGGCAAGGCTGAAGCTTTGGAAGGGAGATAAGGGAATCTAAAAATTTAAGGGTTTTCAAACTGGATGGTGGGCACATAACCGTGTCACCAGTACCCCAAAACCTCTACACCTCTTCAGAATAACGTGTAGCCTGGGATGTTGGAAGATTAAGGAAAAATTTTGTAACTTGATTTAAAAGCCAGTACTGACAATTATATAAAGTTAGGAAAAAATAAGTAAGCAAGGTGTTACTAAGTGTGATAATTAAAATCTCTTATATACTACCACTTTAATAATCTTTTTCAGGGGCTTAGCTAGAAATAATGACTCCATAATACAAAAGGTCTGGAATAAATAGTCCTTGTGTAACATGTAATAATGATTTTAATTAGAAATGAAGGTTCTTGGGGGCAGCTAGGTGGTGCAGTGGATAGAGCACCGGCCCTGAAGTCAGGAGGATGTATGTTGAAATCTGCCCTCAGAACAAATACTTGATGCTTACTAGCTGTGGGACCCTAGGCAAGTCACTTGACCCCAACTGCCTAAATATTAAAAATTTTTAAAAAAAGAAAAAAAAAGAAATTGAAGTTCTATATGATACCAATTGGAAAATAAAACCTAATGTAATTGAATTTATTCTGGTCTCATTTCAAATGAAATTTATTATATCTCAGTTATCTGATTTGTAATGTGTCAAAGAAAAGTGCCTAACATTAATTAGGTCATTTATTTTAGAAATATTGTTAGAAATGTGAACTCTTCTTTCATTCTTTTGGGTTATGCGTTTAATAGTTAAAAGATTGATGTAAATATGTTAAATCAGTAGCAGATTAGTAACTGAACTAGGGTGTCAGTATTTTAAGATTTCAGGATCTAGCCCCATATTTAGGTTAAGGTACAGTCTTTTGACTTCAGTTAAGAACTAGAAATTACAAAGGAAAAGATTTTTAGAGATCAGTCTTTAACCACCTTTCGTCTAAGAGTAAAGTTAGATAATCATCTGATTAATTCTATCCATCCATCTTTCAGGATAAATCTATAGGAAGCCCATATTAAATCTAACAATATACAAATATTAGATATAGTAAAAATATTGGTTATTGTGATCTGTGATTATTATATAAGATCTTAAATGTTTCCTTGTACAGTTCAAGCTGAAAATTATTTAACTCCCTCTGGAAGAACTCTCAAAGGCTTCTCTGCTTGGGAAAACTTGCCACGTCTAGTCAAAAAAAAGAAGTCAGTCATTTAGTATGTTAGGGTAAGAAATTCTAAAAGCAGTAACTTATCATATTCTCGCCTATCACACTTTAAGCTAACCTAATGGTAACAGGTATGAATTTAAATTGTTTATAAAACACTCTATGTGTTTCCTAGTATATGCAGCTTGAAATTCCTGAGAGCATGGGAATTGGAAGCTGAGTATTTAGGGCAGCTCCTTAACTGGAAAGTCTCAAAGACAGGAAAAGGAGACAGGATGTTGAGAATCGATCCAGCTCTTTTAAGGAAGTAGAGGAAGAGATTCCCCTCCCCCCCCCACAAGCTGTGATGCTTGCTACTTAACAGCGCTTATGGTGCTGCTGGTTGTTTACATTTTTTTCTCAGTGCCTGTTTGTGGGGGTGAGGGAGGAAATAAATATTGTTCTATACCCGACTCACATGGCATATTTAGTATCTTTGTACTTCCCCTTCAGGGACATCACAGACTAGAGCCAAAGCTAACCTTTAGACCTTCTTCCTAAATTTCACCAGGGTCTCATCTATCTACTTTGGCACATACAGAGAGGCACTTTTCTCCTTATCTACAAGCTGGTTTCTAGACCAGCAGATCAGGACAAAGATATAGCCAAGGTGTCCCTAGATTCAATGAATTGTATTAAAAAGTATCTCATATGGTTTTTTTTTTTTGTTGGTTTTTTGGTTTTTGTTTTTGTTTTGTTTTGTAGAGAAATAAAGGCATTTGGGCTAGGTGATGGTACAATTCTTCCATTCAGGACGGGTTGAAAAGCCAGACCAAGTCAATGATCAATTACGGCTAGATAGCATTAAGAAGAGACGTCTCAAGGGAAATGCCCCCCAGCCTCTGAACTTGGTCCTGCTCTGTCAGACATTTTTACCAGTGACCTGGATGAAATAAGTGATGGGAAACCTATCCAGTTCTCAAATAACATAAAGCTGGGTAAAGAATGCTAACAAGCTGGATCTGAACAAGTTAGAACACTGGGCCAAACATGATACGAT